TCAGTAGTCATGCAAATTTCTTTGCTTCTGGCTTTTGTGCGATGTTTAAAATTCTTGCCAATGAGGCATCCTTTTCTTTTCCCATGGGGCCACTCTTTTTTTTTTTATTGGTAAATTGCATATCAATGTAATAATCCTGGGTTTGAGAGATTTCCCCTGCTAGACCTTTTCAATAAGAAACATAGACAGAGACAGGCGCAGGCACGTGCATACACATACATATTTGAAAATAAAAAAATGTTCCCCAAATTCATATTGAGTTTTCAAATTAAAATCTAAAGATTTTTTTCTCTGTGTCTCTATCACACCTTATTTATCACTCACAGTTTTTGTATTTTGTATGTATGTTTTGTTTATTTTGAGACAGGGTCCAGGTTCCAGGGTAGCCTAAAACTCCATTGTTCCATGACATAGTTCTGAATGACCTTGAAGTCTCTCAGTGCTGACACTCAGGCACTATTTCTTTGGCATGTGGCTATGGTAGAGCATTCATACCCTTGGATGCATGCACTCCTGTCACAGAGGAAGGATTACCATGCTCCATGAACCACTCAGTAGCCATCTTGTGTGACCGTGAATGGGGATCCACAGGATAGAGAAAGGGTAGCAGTAGAAGGATCCCTGTACTGGAAGCCCCTCCCCCAAATCACTCCGTGCCTACCAGTCTGGAAAGAGACTACATTTCACCCTGGGAAAGAGAGAAGTGGCATGGCTAAGAAGACAAGAACCTTTCCATCATGCAGAATCCCTGTGCTATCCTTGCTAACCCCCCAGCAAAGTGGCCAGGGCAGGCCAGTCCGGGCTTCAGTCCCCAGAGCATGACGTCATCAAGCTGGTGGGCGATAAGGCGAATTCATGGGATAGTGTCACCGAGTACTTGCTGGATCAGACCCAAATGTTAGTTGACTGTGTCCTGTATCTCCAGGAGACAGTCAAGTCCATGGTCATGTCGTTGTTGTTGTTGGACTTACCTGTCCCCTGGGGGTTTCAAAGGAAAAACAGAGAATCCACATTTCCCAGGCTCAGACTGCTGAAATGGAAGGGAGGGGACATTCTGACCAGTGGTATAGACTTCACTTCTTTACCACGCACGAGTGGATTGTTTTCTTGGACACACATCTCTCCATCTTGGGCCACCTCTTTAATAACAACAGCAAGGCAAAGCACCCTCATGGTCCAACGAGGATGGACACCCACAGCCTCTCTGTAATCAAGCTCTCTTGTTAGACTTTCTTTGGATGGCCAGCCCCCAAATAATGACATGGAGACTTATTAATTATGAAAGCTTGGCCTTTAGCTTAGGCTTGTTGCCAACTACCTCTTAGAACTTAAATGAACCCGGTTTTTTTAGCCTACCTTCTGCTATGTGACTCATTACTTTTCCATCATTTACATCCAACTTATGTGTCTTGCTGGCATTTCCTGCACACCTGATTCATCCGCTGAGTTCCTCTCTCTCCCTTGAAGTCCCACCCATTCTCTCCTGCCTAGCTACTGGCCATTCAGCTTTTTATTTTCCAGTTGCAACGATGCATCTTCACACAGTGTACAAATATCCCACACCACCTCTCTCTATCTTCTTCACTATGTGCCACATGGTACCTGAGGTGCTAGACCTGAGTCTGTACGAACATGTAGAATGTTCAACATCAGAAGGGACTACTGTGTGAAGTATGGTGAAGTCAGTGATAATGGTGTGTTCAGTGTGGGGATGTCAGTGGTGACACATGTACCTCTCCGTGTGCTGACTATGAGGAGGCTATGTGTTGTACTTATGCATATGAACTCTCCTTTCTGGGAGCCTAAAATTGTTCTTCAAAATGACTTTTGGGGGTTAAGACAAAAGCAAATGTCCTTGGACTCCTGATCCACTTGCTTCAGCCTCCCAGTTGGAGTGCTCCAGGTGTGCACCACCACGCCTGGCACCTTTTGCTATTCTGGGTGTTTTTGTTAATTCTTCTTTTATTCTTGTTTCATACATTGCATCCTGACCACAAGAAGTCGACTGACAGTCACACTGAGGGAATCTTGGGCAAAAGAGACCTCATAGTCTGCCCCTACAGTGACACACTTCCTCCAACAAGGCCACACCTCCTAGTAGTGCCACTCCCTTTGGGGGCCGTTTTCTTTCAAACCACCGTACATGAGTAATTGTGATTCATGAGGAAAATATCATGGAGCTAGGCACTGGTCTTGTGTGTATTAAGTGCTGAGGGAGAAAGAACATTCCCTGTGCTCAGAAACAGTGGCTTTTAACAGCCTAGGATTCTAAAAGGTAGCATAGAGACTTGGAAGGAGAGTGTATGCTCTTGTGAAAGTTGGACCAGGGAGGCAGGACACACAATAGGAACGGTTTTCGCAGAATTGATGAGAATGAGTGACAGAAAAAAAAAGGCAGCAAACACTCCGAGTCTTGCCAGAAGATAGATGGGAGGACTAGAAGGTGGGCTCCTGGGGGAGCAGTGCTGAGTCATGTCTGCCTTCCAGTTAGAAAGACTGCATGGAGATGGTGTGCTAATTGAAAAGGAAACGCATCTGAGATTTGCATATGTAATGACTGTTTTTGTTTATATGGGTTGTGGAAGAGAAAGAATTTAGACTGATTTTCTGGGTTTATATTTCAGGGCTTTTGAATATAAGCTGATTCTTTCTTTCTTTCTCAAATTGAAAATTAATATTTATTTATACGGTATATTCTGATCACTGTTTTCTCGTCCCTTATCCTCCTAGATTCTTTCCACATTCTCACCCTTTCAACCCCCAACAAGGAAACAAGAGAAAGAAAATTAACGCGATATAATATCTCTTTTGTAATATACAGAAGTTCACAAAACGTTTCAAAATGTTCATTCATGTACTCACGCTCTAATAGAAGTAAATATTTGGTATTTGTGTGTCATACCTTGCATTTGCTAAAGATCCTTTCCTCTCTCCCTCCCTCCCTCCCTTCTTCCCTCCCTCCCTCCCTTCTTCCCTCCCACCACCCAGCTCCCAATTAATCACACAAAGACTTGTTCTTACTCATAAATGCCTGGTCTTAGCTTGGCTTGTTTCTTTCCAGCTTTCCTTAACTTAAATTATCCCATCTACCTTTTTCCTTTCTACTATGACTGTAACTCTTGCTTTTACTCCATCACTTGCTGGGAGCTGGGTAGCTGGCCCCTGGAGTTCTCCTCCTTCTCTGGCTACTCCTTCTTCCTTTCTTCCAGATTTCTCCTTCTATATATTCTCTCTGCCTGCCAGCCCTGCCTATCCTTTCTCCTTCCTTGCTATTGGCTGTTCAGCTCTTTATTAGACCTTCAGGTATTTAGACAGGCACAGTAACACAACTCCACAGAGTTAAACAAATGCGACATAAACAAAAGTAACACACCTTAAAACAATATTCCCCAACACACCAGCCCTTGTGCTTTGTATCAGCTCTGTTCTGCTCCCAGGTGACTTCCTTAACTGTTACTTTGCACCTATAGATTGAGACAAACTCTGAAAGGTTCAGATCTCCCTGTATTTGACTGTTCCAAATGATGCCAAAGCCAATATTTCCTCATATTTTTCTCAACCCCACTTATGTGAATGATTCAAAAGTAGAAATCTAGAAGTGGAATTGCTGGGGTTTGTACATTCCACACTGTTCGTTTTTTTCCATTTTCTTATTTATTTCTTGCTGTTTTGTAACTTAGGATAACCTTGAACTTCTGATCCTCCACCCTCCAAGCGTCAGGTGCAGGGATTGCAAATGTGTACCTCCATGCCTGGTTTATGTGGTGCAAGGATCAGATCTAGGCCTTACTAATGCTAGGCCAGTACTCTACCAGCTAAGCTGCACCGCTAGCCCTGTCTTCCATTTTCTTAAAGAGTAATCAATCATTTTCTGAAATTGCTCCTAGTGTAGAAAGTCATCAACCGGTCCATGCTGTATTGCCTACATGTAATTCTTTGGCATAACATGCTATGTAGTTTTAATCCCATGTATACTTAGAACTTCACCAATAAGACATGAACTTGAGCTCCTAACTAATTCTTTCTATACTTAGAGCTTTTCTTGGACAATTGTCTGTATTTGACATATCCAACTTTGAAAGTTTGGACTGATGGCTCCTTTCATTGTCCTTAGACATATGCCTTTTATCTTTTACAGTCTGTCTAGTTTTTGACTGGTTGTTTATCGGTTTTCCTATTGAGCTACAGAAGATCTTTACATATCTTAGCTGTTTATCTTTTTGTTGTTGTATTTTTTGACAAATACCTCGTCTCAGTCTATGTTCCCCCTACTTTATTTATGATGTCTTTCAATGTATAGAACTTATAAATTTTATTATAGTTGATAGTTACCATTATTTCCTTTATAGTTTATGCTTATTGGTTTTATATGAGATACTGGGATATCATAAATATATTTCCTACTTTTTCATTTTCAAACTTGACAGGTATGCTTTTAACATTTAGGCCTTCTTTGATTACTTTTTTAAAAAATATAAATTGGGTATCATTAATCCTGAAGAGATAGTAGTTTGCCAAGAGCACAGATTTGGGGTTGACTCTCAATCATCAATCAATATTTTATTGTCATTCTGTGACAAGTACATGCTATATATTTGGAATAAGAATGTGTAGGGCATGGTCTTCAGCTCCTTGGAAGATGACTGTCATATAATGTGTGTAGGACATCTTCGTAGCACCAGAAACAAGACCATCTTCCTTATCCATGAAGGGGCCATGACTCATTTTCTATGATGCTGTCAACTTTTGTGTTAATGTATATATTTTGCTGTAAATATGGAAAACTGAGACCATTGAACCAACTCTACATCCTTTAAAGGATTCCGATAGTTTCTCTTTTTCCCGATGGCATGACAAAGGTAAAATTCTGTGGGGCTATGCAGGCATCTTCCAAATAGTTTAGCAAGCAGAATAATTCATCACAGATATTGCTTGCTGAGATATTTTAGATTTATGGCATGGTGAACAACCTGTGTCTGAAGATTGGATTCTGTTTGCAGAGACGGAATGGAGAAGACATACCCGTGGCCCAGACGAAGAACATCAATCATAGAAGATTTGCTGCCTCCTTCAGATTGCAAGAAGTGACAAAAACCGACCAGGATTTGTACCGCTGCGTAACTCAGTCAGAACGAGGCTCTGGGGTCTCCAACTTTGCTCAACTTATTGTTAGAGGTAACACTTTTTGCTTTTGCATCATTAAATTGAGTGCCTTTATTAGAACTGAGCAAGTCTGTAGACACAGCAGTTGTTTTTTAAACTACAGTATTCTTCCTTACAAGTCAATATTCCATATCATTATCAAGATACTGGTAATGTCAAGTAAAGCAGAGATTAGTTTTAAAATTTGTTAATTTGTTATCCAACCAGTGTCTCGTCAAATGAAATCTTATTTTGCCATGTTTAATGTGGAGACACATGTATAGTAGTATTTTCTTCCATATTGCTTTATAGTTTTCATCCCAACTTGAGAGATGCTCCCTCTTGTTTGAGAAATTCTGCAGGTACTGCTACAGTACTTTATTCCAAGAAATGTTGTGACAAGAAGTCACAGTAAATATTTCAGGTAGACCTGTAAACATTTTCAGTAGCAAATCTCTGTGTTAAATTATCATTAACTCTGGTCTTTTATCAAATCATACAAAGTCAGAATGAATTTTTCCTAATCTTAGTTGCTAAAGTTATTAGAGGAACATGAGAGCTTGCCATATTAGGCAAATCTCTTGTGAATTCAGAGAAAATATAGGCAAGGTCAAGATATATATTACCTTTATTAAGAATTTATGAGTCCTTATTTTATCTCAGACATTGATTTAGGTTTCAAGAATGCAGTGTAGAGAGAACACAGAGCTCCTGTTAACATGACCCTTGACAGTGGGTACCTTAGGAATGTTATGTAAACGTGTAGCTTGTGATTGTGGTATGTATTTGGGTGAAGATTGCTTTTTTCATGAAAGTGGTTTCATAATTTCTTTTTAGGAGGTGACAAGGTGAAATAGAGAAAAAGAGGGAAATTTAGCTTCATGAAAAATTAGAAGCAAATTAGCTTTGTTGAATCAGGTATCAGACAGTCAATCTTGACACAAGTGAAAATAATGTGAAGACCTCACCATGGAGACATTTGGCCAATCTAATGAAAACTAGACTCTGAAATTGTACAGAGTAATAGGGGAGCCATTTGTGAATGAGTTAGGGAAATGCAGGATGGGTAAAGTTTCTAAAGGGTCATGTAGATAGGAGAAGACATTGGGCAAACGCTTCACACACGGGGCTAAAGAGATCGCATTGTGGTTAGGAGAACAAATTGCTCTTTCTGAGGACCCAAGTTCATTTCCCAGCACCCACATCGGGTGCCCCACAACTGCCTATAATTTGAGTTCCAGGGGATTCAACCACTGACATCTGACCTCCTTGGGCAAGCACACTCACATGCAAAGCCCCTCACACAGATACACATTCATGCATGTAAATAAAAATATAAATTATATGTTCAAAAAAAAAACCAAATGCCATAGTTCAGGGGCTGAAAAAAAATGAGATATACTCATAGCCCGTTAATCTATTTTGTAATGCTTGATGATGAATAATTGTTAGAAATATTGTTTGGAGATGTACTTGATTCTCATACACTATTCTTTAATAACTATTGAAATCAGGAAATTAAAATTCAGGTTAGTTGATATTACTCCCAGAGCCATAACAATGTAATACTTGGTGGAGACTGACTACACACCCATGCTTCTTGTCTTTTAGTGATGAGTTCCTTCTCTCCCATGTCAGGTTTCTCTAGCATTCACATTATCAACTAATCCTCTTCATCTCTTACATACTTTGCTGAGATCCTATAGCTCATTAAAAACAAAACATAAGTTGATCTTTGTAGGATGAATATGCCCTTGTCTTCAATGCAGCCTGACTTGGGAGTGCATTGTCTCATCTTACCTGCACAAGTTCATGGAATTAAAGACCCTTTTACGAAAGAGTAAAAAAAACATGATAGTGTTTTACAGCCTGGCTCAGAAAGATAATCCACTATACTTTCACATTGATGAGTGCTTATCCATTTGTGTTGATCCCATTTCTGCCCTTCTCATGTGATTCTAATTCATCGGTATGGGGCACCATTGCCATCTCTCTTGTTTGAGTCTAAGTCTAAAGTCAAAGATGTGCTTGGGTATTCTTTTGGTGTTTCACAGGCTGGGTTTGTAGGGGTGTGGGTCTGTTATTGACGCACCATGCTCCCTGCATCTCCCAAGTCCTTTGTTAGTAGTCAAATATACTACCCCGAGAGAAGTGATGCCTGCTTAGGGCACTTACAGTGTTTTGGGATACCCTAACTACTACAACACATAGTTAAACATGTGATGCATTAGAGATATGTTATGTAGGAGCACATATACACTTCTTAAGGAGGGGGCCCACACTGGATGAACTGGATGTTTGTGTAAGGAAGGTGGCAGTTGCTTTATCCATGTCCTTTCCTGATACAGATGGGCCATACCTATTCATGGAAAATTTTGCTCATTTATTTAAAAAAAATTAGTATTTCAGGATTAGATCTTCAGTATTTGTAATACTTTTTTTTTTCATGTGTTTGTTTTTTGGAAGTGTTAGATATGAAATCCAGGATATAGTACATGATTTTCAAGCATGCAAAAACTAAGTTATGCCCCTATTTCTTGTTACTTGATTTATAAGTAGATTTCTATGATTTTATTGAGGCCTTGTTTTCCTTAGTTGTTGACATATACATTGTTTTAATAACATTTAAAAACAATTTTTAAATTCCACACAAAATTTAACTTTTTTCTTTCATAAAATAGTTTCTACTTATTATTCATTTTACTTTAGATTTTGTGTTATACATGTGTTAAAGTATCATAGTGCTCTGGATGGGGTAGCTGCATTTTTGCTAACATTAGAAATATCCATTTTGATACTTTTGACAGTTGCGCTTATTTTCAACATATTTCAGGATCTGCATCAAATATTTGCAGGTGATACGTGGCTTGTCGTATTATCTGAGAACCAATATAGAGAAATACGTTTTTCTTACTTGTCCAGATATCCACAAAATAAATCCTACAAACCAAAACCATCTCCCTGGGGGTCAACTATCCTGATTGCTAACCAAAACCATGCCCCTGGGTGTCAGCTGTCCTGGGACTGAAACAATGGGGAAAATTCACCATGGTGACAGGTCATATCTCTCGGTGGCACATTTAAAACTGATGTCCTGCTGTATGGACACAAAAGATGGTAATTTTAAAGGAAATTTTGGGGGCAGTGATATGAATAGTCTTTAATGAGAGTTGGCGTGGTGTTGCCTGTTGTCAAACATGACCTATGGGTAAGAGTTTATTAGTGCATTTTCTCTGAAACTGGAAGTGACAGGACATGCTTAAGGCTTTTTTTTTTTTCTTGTTTGCTACAAGTGAAAATTTTACCGCAAAATCCTCATGCCGAGGAGTATTGATTGGTGTGTTCCCGGAGCCACGGGAATAGCAGAGTGGGATGGTGAACAGAATTTACTTTGCCATAACTCTGCCTTTGCTTCCAGACCGTTTTGAGTAATGATAACATCTGCAGCTTGCGGAAGCCGATCTTTATTGACGAAGAAGCTTTTGCTCATCGGAGACCAAGAGGAGGCATTTTTGTGTAGTGATGCTATAGGGTTCTGGAGTTCTGCCTGTAAAGACGGTGCAGAAGGGGTGTTGGCCAGTCCCACAGTGAAAGCTAGGCTTCGTGGATGATGATGTGTGTTGATGGTTTTGCTCCTTCATTGTCTCACGTATGAGATTCTTCTGTCCAAAGAAATCACAGGCCAGTTTCCATCTGCTCAAAAAAACAACCCACTGAACACTTAGAGAAAATTCTCTCTTACATTTTGCATTTCAACTTTTTACAATACTTGTCTACATTTTACTTTTTTTCATTTTCCTGTAGATTTTGGGAAAGAGTCTCATGCATCTCAGGGTGTTTTTCAGCTCCTATCTGCTTCTCCAGCTACCAAATGCCATTTGGTGAGATTACAGACATCAAGTACCTGCTACATTTTTAGCTTTTAAATATTTTCTTTTCATTTGAGACAGGGCCTCATTATGTAGCTCTGGCTGTCCTGGAACTCACTGTGTAGACGAGCCTGGCCTCAAACTCACAGAGATCTGCCTGCCTCTGCCTCCCAAGTGCTTGTATTAAAGGCAGGCGTCACCACCGCCTGGTCAGCTTTTAAATTTTTTTAAAATTGCATGTTTAAATTTTTTTGTTGTTGTTTTAAAATTGTTAGTGATCTCTGTGAGTTCGAGGCCAGCCTGGTTTACAGAGTGAGATCCAGGACAGGAACCAAAACTACACAGAGAAACCCTGTCTCGAAAAACCAAAAAAAAAAAAAAAAGGTAGTGATTTGAATTTTAAATTTTGCCATCTATTATTAACCACTGCAAAATGCTGTGGAAATGAAACATATTCAGTTAATATATTTATCTATTTTTAGTGAATAAGTCAACAGTAGTTATGAGTATTGTGATTCTCAGTCTCATTGACCCAAATTTATTAAATATTTGTATTCAGCTTATTGGTGTTGGAAATTATGTGATTGATATTGATTGTCAATGTAAGTCACATGACACACTCATTGACATTTTGACTAGAGGGTGCAGAGGAACGCTTCTGGGGTCTTTGATGCAGTCATTAAGCATCTAGGTTCTTTGCATTTCACTCTGGTGTCAGTGATTTGGGTTCGTGTCACAAGACCAACTAACCTCCCAGTTAAAGGACACCAGCATGATTCAATGCTTTCTGATCCCATCCACTGGGCATAGATAGAGCCGTGCTGGAGGGGCATAATAAAAAAAAAAAAAAAAGGATGAATTAAAATGAAAAGGCACAAGAAAACCTGCTCCTTTGTATGCACATTTTTAAAAGTTAATACATTTTTTAAATAAATTAATGCAAAATTAAGTGTTGCTGGAAAGATGGTACAGTGGCTAACAACACATGTTGCTCTTGAGGCCCCAGGTTCATTTCCGAGCATCTACATGGTAGCTCACAATCATTTCTTACTGTCGCCCCAGGGCATCTGATGCCCTCTCCTGACCTCTGTGGGCACCAGTCACACAAATGGTACATAGACATACATTCAGACAAAACAGTAATACATCTAAAATAAAATAAAT